CCTCAGATTGTCACATCGTCCCTTGCAGCACGTATGGCCCGGTTTCGGCCTGAACCATCTGACGACGACGTTCGGGACCTGGCGCTCAAGAGGCTCAAGGCCCTTCTGACTGGGGATCCTTTTGCGAGCGAGCTTGGGAGATCCCTTCTGGATAAGATGGGTGCCCTGGCCTCCGATGAGGTGGTAGCGCAGTCTTTCTCTGATGCTTTCAGGGCAAAGGCGGCCTCCACGCTTTGTGGTCACTCATGCGCACTTGCACGCTTCAGCTTTTGGTGCGCCCGACAGGGCGTGGAGCCTCTTCGTGCAACTGAGGAGGAACTGTACGCATACCTGTGCGAGATGCGATCGTCAAAGAGGGGGGCTACGTCTGGGGATAAGTTCCTTCGCTCCCTCTCGTTTCTTGAGCATGTGGCGGGCCTACTGTTCATGAAAATGGACGAGGTTGCATCTTCAAGGGTAAGGGGAGTAGCTCGCGACATGGCTTTGNNCGCCCCTCCCTCACTGTCACGCAGGTCCGCCTTCTAGAAGAGCTCATGTGTGAGGACTTACAAGACACCGATGCCTGTGTCTTAGGCCAGCTGCTAATGTGTATTCACTCTGCCGGCCGGTGGCGAGACATCCAAGGCCTGCACGAGGTCGAGGTGTCTGTGGGACCCTCCACGTCTCTCCTGATTGCCAGCGGGCTCAAGAGCAAAACCACGCAGACCCCCGAGGCTCAAAGGCGCTTCCTCCCCTACGTTGCAGTTGCGACTGGCGTGTCTGGGAGAAATTGGGGCGAGAGATGGCTCGAGGCGCGCACTCGGGAGGGCCTCACGTGGGGCGGTGACTTCTGCTTACCATCCTTTTCTCTCCGGCTTGGCCGCTGGAGTTCTGTTCGCATGGGATCGGGAGAGGCCTCCGCTTACCTTCGTGATTTTCTTACGGCCATAGGCCTCCCGTGCGACGAAGCGGGGACCCATAGCTTGAAGACTACTTTGCTCACTTGGGCCTAGCCGTTCCATGGAGGTGACTTTCACTGAGAACGAGCGATTGCACTTAGGTCATCATGCTGCCTCAGACACTAAATCGATGCTGGTGTACAGCAGGGAGGCGTACTCCCGGCTCTATGCTAAAGTGGTTGCCATGTTCCGTACGATCACCACCGGCAGCTTTGACCCAGATCTGCCACCAGCTGAGCGAGTAGAGCACATGGCCAGCACCCTGCTAAGGAATGATCCCAGGCCTCCTGTGCAAAGCATTGAGAGCCCCCCAGATGGCAATGCGAGCGCTTCATCGGGAGAGTCTGAGGCAGGTGAGCTTGAGGTCAGGCCCAGGCGTGACCCATCGGATGTTGCAAGGGCTCCTTTCCCAGATCGTTTGCAAGCCGATGTTCGTGTGCATTCTCTTTCAGGAATTTCTCATGTCATGAAGGACGAACGTAGGCTGTGGTGCAATCGGCCCATCAATGCCAACTACGTATTGTTTTCGGAGGCAGGAGTTGCGGCCGAGCACCCGACTCCTTGTCATCAGTGTTCGCGAGCCCTAGGAC